GGTTAACGGTAAGACCAGTGTAAGCCAGAGTACCAAAATGCGCGGTTTCAGAGTTCAAGGTTCCACTGAAATGGGTTACTCAGTAGTATCAGCTTCGCAGGGATTGCAATAAGGACGGAGAAGTCGACATCGCAAAGAGGGAAGAGAAACAGCGAACAACGTCGCCCGATTCATTTATCACGGCGAGTGCAGGAGGCCACATCGATTATTTACCCTGCCATAGCTCCGTTAAATAGCCCCCTGTGGCCCCGTCAAAGCTCCTCCAATCCCTCGCGGCCATATGGATCTGGCTTGAACTGATGTTGACAGGGCGACCTCCTTGAAATTTAGGGCAGGACCACGTGTTAAACTGGTGTGTAGATAGTCTTGTTGCTTGCTGCATGACTTTGCTTTGACGTCCGTTCACACGATTGCACGAATAGTGTTCGAAGTTTGACTTTTAAAATAGGTGTGACTCCGTTGCAGTTTCCAGCTGGCAAATACGTTCACCTATTATAATAATGCTACTTTAATCATCACAGCAATGTGTTTGTTTCAATGTTTATTTTTTCTCTCCCAACAGAACCAGGGGCTCTAAGATGCTACCCATCAAATCAGAAAATACTGGCGTACACTGAATAGCTTGAAGAACAGAACGCCATCAAATTATCCCGGACGAGAGCAGCTTACCTGAAAGTGAAACATTTTTATTATTCGAGCGATATGGCATCTCTTCCAACGCCCTTTAAACAATCGCATGCTGCGAATGAGAAATGCAATTCATCAGTTTTAAAAACCTTGTATCCGGGCCAACCAATTACTGCTTAATGATTGGCTGGAAGTGACTGGAAGTAGCACACACTCAACCCTAAAAATGACGAAGGCAATTTGATATACAATCAATAAGCTAAGCGCCGTCAGCACTCTGGCCAAATGGCCTACAGCACTAGGTACCAAGATGACGTACGCTGCATAAATCGGGTCATCGGAACTGAAATAACGCAGAGTACAAATAATCTCTACTTTTTTGATTTCAGTAGCAAATAAAAAAATCAAAATATCTTGTCGGAAATAGATCTACAAGTCAATAATCTAAGCACTATCAGCAATCTGGGCAAATGCCCTCCAGCACTCAGTTCCACGAAGACGTACTCAGCGTAATTCTGGTCATCGGTGTATTTGGCTTTGACATAGACTCGTGTGAGATTGGAAAGCACGGTCATAATGTCAACGACCGTTGCCTGACGGCCTGCTGTTGCAAAATTAATCCGCTGTGGCCGTATCGTCTGCGTGGGGTCACGATAGGTGTGTTGCGGCGTCTCCTGTGTCTGTGTGTGGCTGATGGGAAAACGGTCCAAATCCCCCTCAGTGGCTTCTACAAGAACCCGGAAAGAGGACTCATGCAGCCAGATCCGATGAACACGATGTACATCCCTGTAGGATACGTTTGTGCTGTAGGCCAAGCGGATACCATGTCCCTGAAAAAATATATACCATAATGTTTTATAAAATGTAAAAATAACACCTACTTTTATGTTTTTAGTAGCACATAAAGAAATACACCAGATTTGAAACTAACCTCTAGTACGAGATCAGGCTGGTCTATCCACACGTCGTTCAGTGCCGCCGAAGTCGCATAACTTCCAGTCAGATCAGACCTGATTGCGGGCGATCCGAAGCGCAGAATTGCCTCCAGATGGCCTCGGTAGGCCATTAACTGCTTTCCTAGGTAGACCTGTGGGGCTGACCAGTAGTAGGACACTTGCCGAGTTGACGCAGGCGAACCCAGACCCACGTCAACATCATCGCGCGTAACTCGCAGCATTTGAGCAGAGGCGTTGTCAGCCTGCGCACCGATGATGATTGGTTCGACGGGCATTACTCGTAAACTGCCGGGAACCGTAAGCGTCCAGCCGTCGTGCGTGTCAACCTAGTTAGATTTGGGAGTTTGTGAAAAATTATAGCCAACAGGCAAGCATCCTCAGCTGGTGGTCGAGACAGTGCGAGATTCAGAACTTAGTACAGAGGTAGCAGTCTAACAGGCATTCATAGGGGAAATAGTCAATTATGTGAGCTCTGCCGTACTTTTAAAATGACCACCTCAGCCTTAAATCAAGGAGTCGACGCAAAAATTAAACCTAAGGTAAATTAACTCTTTTTGGACTTCATACAGAAACTGCTAGTCAATCGATAAAGTTGCAGACGACTGGTATTTACTGATTCGACAGAAGCGATGAACAAGAGCACCTCGAAAGCACTTTTAAATATAAGTGCTGAATATGTCGTACTCTTCATGGTGATACTAACCGATCTAAATCAGCTAGACATCCAGTCCGTGGATCAATAGTTAGAGCCTAACACTTCTGACCAAAAGGTTGCTGGTTCGAGTCTCGAGTGAGGTTCGGTATGACTGACTAATGAGCCAGAAACGGCCATTCCAGTTGCCCTTGTCTTTGCCGTCAATGTTATCTGCCTAGGATACTTAGCTTCGTAGTGAAAAAAAGTATGTAAGTGACCAAACGGCGAAGCGTCTGTGAAACCATTAGAGGTGAATATGCAAGTTACGGGAAGCAGTTCAGAAGAACAAGAAGATGCGACCATTGGACCTTGCGTTTTATTGTCCTCACGTTTCGGATTCCGTCGAGAATCCTTAATCATAGGTAGTCTTAGTTATGCGCAAATAGGGATGAAACATGCACAGATTGCACGGTATTGATGATTCGTAGAGGTCATCCGTGTGCCTGCTGTAATTATCCACTCCTGTAGCCACCGCTTGGTTACTAATTGGTGCAGCGATAGCTTGACACTTGGCGATTGACTCATTAATTGTCGCGATTTCTCTGTCCGTGTCGGTTGCGGGCTTGGTAATTGCACGACATTTAAGTTCGCTGTAATCAGAGATGTTGTTGGGTCCGGCCCTTCCCATGTGACTGATTCCTTTACTCAGGAAATGTCTCATTACACAGTAGGGAAATGTCAAATCGTTGCGCCTGTTAATGGACTGAGTAGGGATAAGGTAAGGATAGGCTGCCAGCTCAGACCACTTATATGCGCATCTACTCATTTACTTGCTCCTGTGTAGCATGTTATATCGGTCGCACGAGTTGGCGATTATCCGAAAGAATATGAGAGAACCTTCCGGCATTTTTGAACAAATGTGGAGGCAGAAGTATCAACAGCACCATCCTTGCCCATATGGTTGACTCCGGACATCGTGCGGACCCCAACGAAGCCTTTAAGGCAATTTATAATGTCCCGCCAAACTACCCAAAGTCCCTGGTTCAGTGCCTGCTAGAAAACAGCAGAAGCAACCGCTATCAGGTTGCTAAAGCCGGCGTTGTGTGTAAAAAAGAACTCCATGCAAGCTCCGCAGTTGACGTGGCCCACAGTCACTTAGAGGCAGA